TGGCCAATCAAAGTCTCTGTTTCCCACGCACTGAAAGACGATATCATTCAACTCTACAAAAACTCTTACACGTTCCGATAAACAAAGTAAATACCAACCTTGTTCTCTTTGCTGTGAAAACCACTCCATCACTTGCTGGTCTAGTTCGCGATATTTCGGAGTGAAACGGCCCATCGTCGCACGTTTTGCAGACATCTTCAGCTCACCAGAAAGAATAGTCGCCTGGTTTCTTCTCCAGGGTCGTACCATGGACTCGCTTAGTCCATATTCTCGAGCGATTTCCGAGTTGTTTTCTACCGCTTCAGCTTTCGCGATAACTTTTATCTTGAAAGCCATACTATACGTGGAACGGCGTGCTTTAGGCATGATGATAAAAGTAACAGCGACGAAAGGGATACTCGATCGATTGATACTTTGAAACGTTTAACTGAGATTGTTATTGTGGTTGATCTGTTGTCTCTTCATTGGTTCGCTTTTTTTCTTTTGTGTTTATTGTAATTCATTACGTTTTGTGTTCAGTGAGTCAATTTCTTATGTTTTCTGTGAGGTTCGCTTGCTCAAATGGCCAGTTACAATCAATAATTTCGCTCTCGGCTTATAGCCGATGGTTTTACTTTTTTTTTTGGGCAGCCTGAGTCTAGTGGAAAGACCCTGACTTTCAGGGTCTCGGCTTATAGCCGAGATCGGCTTATAGGTGAAGAAATACGGTAATAAGCCATTTTTCAATTCGTAACGAATCGCCCAGCGAGGGCCACTAGTTGGATGGGGTCTTGCTGATATTGCCTCACCGAACCGGCTTATTGGGGCACTAGTACGCTGTTGCTTCTTGCTCAGTCCTTGCAAGTATGTTTCATCGAGTTTAGCCTTGATGTTTTTCAATTTACTGCGCTCCCAGGCCAGCGTTCTTATTTTTCTAGGTTAAGCGCGTTTAGACCCTCCAGCTTTATCTTTGCTTTATCTGTCGACATAAAATCTACTGCATTGGGGGAAGACACAATCTGAATTTGAATGCGACGGCATGCATTATTACCTTATTACATGAAAACCCATACGAAACGTGCAGCGCTGCAGAATGGCTTCAAGAAGCGCTACAGAATAGCTGCAAAGAGGCTGGCTGCAGCAGTCGCAAATTTTGGCTGTTCCGGGCAGCGCAATGAAGCCGTTTGAAAGCGATAAGCAGCGGTTTAGCAGCGGTGGAAAGGACACACTAAAACGCTGTCAGCACAGCCAAATAGCTGCAAACCTGTACAAAAATTCAAAGAATTATGGCATTTGCCTGATTCGATAATGCAGGAAATGTAACAGTGTTTTTTGTTTTAACATAAGGGATATATTTATAACGATAAATGACAAGGCAAAAATTAGGATGACATGTTCTCCTTATTTGCCAACTGCTTTTCTAGTTTCCTTTTGGCGGAGCCCCTTTTATTCCGTATAGTTTTCTGAAAGTCTATCCTTTCGTTAACTTTCCAGACGGTTGCACAGCGTTTCGCGTATGCTGGAAAATGAAAAAGAAAAATATATGGTTTCAACAAACATGCATTTGAAACGAAAGAAGCTATTTATTTTTTCCTAAAGCTACCTACTGGAAATTACTTCTAGAGGAAACTATATTAGAGAAAAGGCCATGAGTGCCGGCAGACGAGCGATCGCGGGCGAATGCAGCTCCGACTAAAAACTGAATAACCAAACAATGCAAATTAGTGCCATCTCGCAACGCAGTCCGCAAACCGGCTTAGTAGCAGAGTAAAAACCACTAGAAAGTCAAAATGCAACTTACTTTATTAATATCCACGCGTACACGTTACAAAAGCATGAGAAAAAATCTTCAACAGTCTCGCTTTGTAAATATTTGGCAATCACGGTCACTCATCTGAATGTAAGAACATCCATTAACATGCAGACATTGAAAATTATCTTTTTTAAAAATAAAGAGAATAACATCGATTGTTCTACATAAAGTTTACATGCACGGCCATTAGGCAAATGATATTTTGATTCGTTGCAACGGGCTAAGCTGGATATTGCTCACCTTGACTTTTCGTCCATGATCCATGATCTTCTACACTTTTTTCATGAAAGAAATCAACCCAATTTTACTTTGGTCGTCGTTAAATTTTACAATGGACTAAGGAACGAACATTACCACGAGCGTATAAGAATCTTGTAAGTGCGAACCCCATCTGAGATTCTTGTATCTGTGTTGCTTGCTCTGGTTCGATTCGTCGATACTTAGCGTAGAAGTCACTGTTCAGTGTGTTGTTTGCAAATACGTTTGAGCTGTTCCATCCAAAAACTTCAACAGAACTCCCATCTCGAAACAGAACTAGATACAAAAAAACTTAGAATGTTTGCGCCTTTCATTCAACGGTCGCAAATGTTCTGTGTTTGTCTAGAGATGTAATGGGATCTCATGCAAAAGGACCGACCAATTAGATTACAGCCTAGAATGTCTCCAGGGAATTAGCGATAACATTCCCACACTCGCTGGTCACGGAATGAAATTTATTGAAATCTTTATTCCGAAAGCATAGGATTTGGAGGTTTATTCAATAAGTGATCTTCTTTTGCACAAGCTTACTCACATTTCTTAGAGGTACAGTCAAAGTTTTCGTGTTATAAAAGCCGTAATCTGTGCCAAGGCTTTATCTGGCGATTCATGTTATTGGCGCTCAAGAAAGTCAGATCGACCGCAGCTGAATTGTAGCGTTACTGCAGCTACTTCGCAGCGTTTGAAAGTCGGCAACTGCGCTGCAAAACCGCTGCCGAGAGCTTCAAAGAGCCTTCAAAGGCTGCACAGCGCTTTTGCATCCCGCTGCAACTTGAATGAAGCTGCTGTTTGGCTTCTAAAAGGCTGCTGAACAGCTATTTTGCAGCGATTTTGTGGCGCTGTACAGCACTGCAAGTTTCGTACGGGAAGGCTAAAAAAAATGTGTCATGTTCGCAGGGACAGATACGATTTCGATATTTAAAGAAACCGGTTTCCACAAAACTCTTTCTGTTTTCTGGTCTCTAAAAACATCCCAGATAAGTATTTCTTTATGGGTAGGTGGTAACTTCAACTTCTAGGGTGTCTGTACCAGATATGGGTTGATAACGGAATCAATTACTTAAAGAGTTTCCTCTTTGTTGGAGTACTGTTTTGGGTTTTGTGTAAGGCAAAATCCCTTGGGAAATACAAAGTTTTGAGGAAGACTTGCTTTGGTTTTGTCTAGCTGAAATGACTGAAATGTGCACGAATCTCTTTGGACTGAGTTGACATATGTTCGTCTTGAATCCTCTTACAAGTTGGGAAGTCTTGACTAAGATCAACCAAGAACATTGCTTTCAGTGTACCTTACCCTTTATCCAAAAGTGACAGATGCAACAGTTAAACTGGCTACACTACAAAAAGTACAAATCTTTAGTAGTTGGTGGTGAAATGTATGGCTCCACAATGGGCTCCAGACTTTGTCCATAGCTACCCTTACCAAAATTAGAGCACTGATAGTATACTTTTTGTAGACAAATAGTATACACCGTATGTATTACATTGCCATGGTGTACATTTTTAGTATACATCAAATATACATCAAGCAAGATTTGGCTTAGCAAAAAAAAATGATGTATACTCTTTGTATACATCACTTGCATTTAAGTAGCAATGATGTATACAACAAGTATACCTCAGGACTTTAAAGCAGCAATGACGTATACAACAAGTATACCTCAAGGCCTTCAAACAGCACTGATGTGTACAATAAGTATACATCAGTGCTGCATTGATGCCAAGTTGTATAAAAAACATCTTCATTGATTAGGAAGTAAAGCTTTGATGTATACTTTTTGTATACTTTGTATAGCATAAACAGTTTATATATAACAACATATAAATATATAGTATATGTTGTAGTTCAACTTTTCCCTGGTTTAAATTTCACATACATTACCATGCCCAAACAAAAGAAAAATTAAATTAAAGCAGGAACAAAAGTAGAAAAACAACACATATGTTGATTGAATTGAAGGGTTACCAAAAATAATTTCAGTGAAACAAACTCTAGAATACTGTTTTACATGTACCTGATTAGAGAATCTCTGAGAAATTCCAAATGCTGATGAAAGGAATACGTTTGAACAACAAGAACTGGACAAACAAGACATATCTCTAATAGATCTGTAAAACTGCAGTAATTTAAAAATTATATATTTCGCTCTTTGCAACTCATCACTCACTGGCCAATGCTTATAAAATAATATTGTCCATTGTTCATGTAAGAATTAGCATTGTGAGAAATTCAGCAACAACATCAACATTTTTGGGACTGATATGTCATACACAATCTTCGTTAAGGGGTCAATGTCATGCAATTTCGAAAGATACACAACATTATTTTGCTATAATAAAAACATTAAAAGAAGCTAGTTTTAATAAAAAAATTATGTTTACGTGCCCTGACAGGAAAAGATGGCAGCTTTTAATAAATGGCACACATTTTTTTTTTCTCTCAAAAATTCACTTGAAACCTACCCATTCGTGTTGCAGGATCATAATTTTGCATGTTACATGTATCTGTGACGGTGCTCTGATGGTGCTACCATGCACTTACAGTTGCAAAAAAACCACTCAAACGCTTTAGTCTTTTTCGTACTGATTAGGAAACATTCCCACAAAGGGAGTATTGTCATTACCACAGTCAACAAAAAGCATAATCGAATAATGTTGTCCACTGGAATTGCAGTGATACAATTATTGTCACTCCTGATGACTGGAACCAGGTGAGAAACAGCAGTACCAGTGTAGGGATCATTAGCAATTGCTAAAGTCTTGTTAGGTTTCAGAACTTTGACCAATGCATAAAACAGTGGCTTCCTACATTTACATGAGTTAGCACAAAATGAAGGGTTGGGGCAATGTAAATATATTTTGGAATAGAACAAAATCTGTCCAAATGAAGGTGGTGAATCCCCACTGTTGCCTTTAAATTCTATTGTAAAGTTGTTTCTCCTTGTCATGCTTTTGTATAACTTGGAGTGAATCAGTTGCTCTCAATGAGTAATCTGAAAAACTGATACACTTCTTGAACTGGCCCAATTAGGGATTCGACTACAGCTCGCTCAACAGCAGTAAAGACATAATTTTGTAAGTTGCCCACGATGCTGCAGTTGCTGTTGCCTGGAAGTTTTTCCTTTTTGGAAGCAAGGGGACGCTTTCTTGAAAGGTGTTCATAAAGTTCTTGAGCCATAGATCCACTTTCGAGGAGAGGAACCAACTCAGGTATTCTCTGTTGCACACTGACAGCTGTCACAATCTGTTCTTCCACACTTTGTGTACCATGAAATAAGCTTCTTAATTCCCCATTGAAGTCTTCAAAGCAAAAACAAGAGTGAGTCCACAGTGGACCAAGATCTCTCACTCTTTCTGTCATGTGAAGTAAACAGTGCACATTAAAAGTTTCATAGCGGGCTGCATAAAGTTCCTTTATCCTGATACAGAAATGCTTTATTAAAGCAGAGGCCTTTACAATGTCATTCGGAGAGATAGAATCCTGGAGAAGAAGGTAAATGGCTTCCACAAGGTGAAGGTAGTGCTGAAAGTACTCTTCTGGAAGAATACCATACAGACATGGAACAGAGTAGAACAACAGGAAAGTCCTTAACTCAGATGCTTTGAGATGCCCAAAGTTTGCTATCAGGCTTCTGGGAAGGCGCGTGATGCAAGAAGGAGGACTAATCTTTAGGTACCTCTCTTCAATTTCTTTCATTCTTTTACAGACAGACCATGGCTCTGCTTTATATGTCTTGTCACTCCAAAGGGTAAGCAACATCTTAACCACGCCAAGTAATGTACTGTGCATATAGTCAATGGCTATTCCTCTAATGATGTCAAACTTTGGAATAAACATAAACCATGAATAGCCTTTAACCCCTTTAACACTACTTGGGATGCCCTTTTGAGCACTTTCCTTGGTAGCTTCAGCTGCAAACTTTAATGTCTGTTCATGTGTTCTTGGTTCCCCATGACCAGTTCTGAGATTTGCTTCATCAAATGGGTAAGCATGAGTGTGCCCTTTGCTACTTGTCTGCACAGTTTTGCCAGGGCTCAGGCAGTATGGGCAACCATAAAAGGCATTGAATTGACAAAACTCTTGGAAAAGGCACTTTGCTGGGGCATCAAATGTCCCTAAGAGTAAAATACAGCGAAGCAACATGTTCTTGCCATTCAGCTTTACATCAATCCCTATAAAAAAGGAGCAAAAAAATCCTGACTATTCAGATGTTGACCCATAGGGTAGAAATGAGGGCAGCAGAATTTCTATAGACTTCAAAGTTAATTGATAACAGATAACACATCAAAGCATTTTGAAATTCATACATACATGTAGCTGCTAAATAATGATTGAAAATAATTTTCAATAATTTAAAGCACACATTTGTATCTACATGTATTATGCCAAATCTCCTTTAGTCAGAGTTGTAAGTTAAACCTGTGTATAACGGTCACCCTTGGGAAATGGCCAAGTGGCCGTTATATACAGGTTCTCTTTAAACTCTACTGGAAGTTAATGAATAGCATCTAAGTCTAAAGGGTGACTGCATCCGTTACGCACACTAACAGGTGACCACTATATACAGGTCACCTTTACAGAAAATATAAAGCAAAGTTTTAGGGAAGTTGTCCGGTGAGTCACTCTATAGTGACTCAATTTCCTTTGTCCCCCTTTGTAAATTATATATAGTTCGGGGAGTAATAATTATGTCAAACAGCAACAGTTGTACAATGTATTTATTATGAACATTCTGAACTAATAGTATACTAGAGAGTAGCTGTGACTACAGTGTGCATATATGTACATTAGAATGTAGCAGATAAATGCATGCTTTAAGGTAATACAAAAAATGGGGACTGATTTTAAAAACATAAACCTTACCTTTGAAGAATAAATCATTTAGTGAGTTTGCGAATGGCTGCATAAATGTTTGGAAATGTGGCTTGGAGACACCGAACCAAAGCCCAGCAAACATGCGGTACTTTCTCTGCTGCCTGTAGGGACAGAAAATAAAGGGAAAGAATGAAGTTTTTAACAAAAAAAAAAATGTGAATATGTTTTTTTAATGAGAAAAAAAAGCAAAAGCGGTCCATTTCAAGATAGGTCAGTTACCAAGCAAAGAATGAGTTACAAACAATTCTTACTAGTTAGCAATTCTGCAAATTATCAGTGCTCATTATGATGTGTTGCAGTTAGATTAAGTGATACTCTTCTCTCACAATTTCTTTTCTCTTATTGGTTATTAACTGTGGAATTTTCTCTTTGGTAGTGGCATCATGAAGGCAAGTAGATGCTTAAACTGTGTACTTCAGTTCCACAATTAATTTATTTACATGACTATACTTTACAACCATTGTTATTTTGGTTACTTTGGTTTGACATTCTTTAATCAATACTTCAAAAAAAAAAAAAGAGAAATTATATATTATTTAGCAATACTATAGAAATGAAATACTCGGCTGGGGGGAGGAGGTTTGAAGCTGTTTAAAACGCTTACAGCACATGTTTAATCAAGGGTAAAAATTCAAGCTTTTATTACATACCTGCAATTTGGAGGCAATTCGTTGACAATAAAATAAACCGCCATATGGAAAATTTTGAAGACCTAAAAATTGCAACTCCATCCGTGTTTATTTGCAGGGACAAATGGATCTGTGTCTTTTTTTTGTCCTGTGTGGATGAACCCCTAAAAAATCCGTCCTCCCCAAAGTGCTTCTTATACAGTTGTCCATCAAAGATATCTTCAATGGCATCTGAGTTTTGTTTTTGTCTTGTGACACGATACTGCAGAAAATCAGGTACTTCTGGCCCTAAGAAACAAAACAAATATTTGAAAACAATACATAAGAGTGAGAAAATAAATTTCACACAGAGGTTCTGTTTGACTGAGGCAAATGATAATATTTCCTGAATACATGTACATGTAACAAGACTGCAAAAAATCTTTTCATTTAAATCTTGGAATTTTTCCTATTATTGATCACGAACTGCTAATGTTAACTGTCAATGCATTAACAAGTGATAACAACCAGTTACATATGTAACATTGTTTCAGTTTGATGAATGGTTAAAATACATGTATTGAGTGAATGCTTTAAGGCCTCTACAGACTAGATATTTAGTTGTCAAAAACGTTTTTTTTTTTTTTTTTGACAATGACAATGTTTAAGTTGTCAACAACAGCAAAATTTAGCATTTAGTTGTCAACAACCCGTCTTACACACTGCGTTTTTTGTTGTTGATAACATTTAGTTGTCGAAATCAAAACGTTGTCGACAACTAAATTTCTAGTCAGTGGAGGCCCTTACAGTCACTTCATTCCATCAAAAGAGCCTGGGAAAACATGAAGTACAAAGAAAAGAAAAAGTGCACGATTCTTACACCGAGGTAAACCCAAAAGAACGAGAAATCCTTTGATGTGGGGCATTATTTAGTGACAGGGGATACTTAACATGGTAGTGGATAAAGATAATGAGAAATTCTTTGTTATTTAGTATCATTTAGTAACAGGTGGGACATCTACTTAGAACGAACTGACTTGGAAGGAAGTGACCTGATACCAAAGGAATGATCTATACCTTAGCAGATAATCTACTTACTTGACAGCAATGACTGAAGCTGTGTGACTAAGGGTAGGACAATGAAGTAGGCCAGTGCACCTTTTTTTGGAAAAATCTACCAGACAATACTTGTTAGAACAGCAGGAGGTCTTTGTAAGCCCAATGTACTCAAAACAGCAACAACAATAATAGTGGTACTCGATAGGCTTCTTAAGCTTTCGAAAGAATCGGTTGAGAACAGCTGTCGATTTAGCAAAGCAGTTGGGTACAACAAGATGAATGTTAATTAACGTCAAAAGGTCAGCCAAAGCCAGTCCGCTCAAATTATGCCTTATGGCGAAGCTAATAATCAGCAACAAGCTAACTGAAAAAAGTAACGGGGACCCCTCGTATAAAGGGGTGTCTTGTGATAAGGATAGCTCAGTAATTTTCACGTAGTCATCTTGAGTGCTGCTTTCATTCCTATCTTCCGCTTCCGAAAGTTCATCCACGTCATTATCTTGCTCGTTCAAATCCTCATGAAACTCGCTAGATCCGTACGTTGTATCAAGCGCTGGATCTTCAGGAAAAACTTGCGAAATTTCATCACAGCTGTCTTGCTCAACTGCCGTGTTGTTCAGGAGCCCCTTTAACATTTCATCAGCGATGGAGTCTCTAGTTGGGCGGCCTTCTCTGTCATTTTCTACCTCAGCTGGCCGACCATCTTCTTTCAACAAATCAACATTATTACGGTCTTCCAGAGAGTATTCTTCGATCCCCTGAGATGCATATGAGTAGTCCAGGAACTCTGACTCAAAATGTTCAACAGTGTCGCTACAAGATACCGCATTCGTTTCTCTATCATAAGTTTTAGCTAGTTTCTGGCGATACTCTGACGTTCTGGGAACTTTCAACGACGGATGTGACAGATAAGACAGGTAAGTACCTCTTCTTTTTTCACAACTTCTAGAGTTACGTGTTTCTTTTGCATTTCCAGTCGCCATGTTGTGTTCGTATAAAAAGCCGATCGACCCAGGCAGATATTACGCATGCTCAATACGTCGGCGTCTGTTTGTTTTCCTTTTGGCGGGATTTTTGCGGCACGTTTGTCGGTGTATGTGTTAGATCTTGGCGCGAAACTTCAGTAGCTGTGAAACGTGAATTGCTTGGTTCATCAGACTCTTTTTCGACTGAACGTTTATTGTCGCTTCCCCTTTTTCGGGCAATCCAGTATCCAGGAAAATGGTGAGTACATTAAACTGTATAAAAAAAACCTGAAAAACCCTAATCAGGTCACGTTTTAGTTCGTTTTTAATAGCAATTATGGTGATAGGTAAGCTCAACGGTTCTACTTAAATCGGTGAGAAAAAATGGTAAAGTTTACCTTCTTCATTCAGGTCGAATGCAGCGTTCAAGCCAGGGAATTGTTCTCTTAGAACTTCTTTGATACATTCGCAGCGTAAAATTCATTTTATCTTTGTGTCTGCGAACTGGAACTGATACAACTCGATCGGGCTCAGCTAGTGCATTTCAAATAAGAACGCGACAATAAATGCTCATCCTCGGTGTAAAAACCTGTAAAGTTTTTTCTTTGTTTTCTAGCTATTGTTTTCCTTGGCTCTATTGTGTTGACTTCTCAGTGGCTCCTTTGTATTCATTGTTTTACGTCACTCGTGAGTTTCACAGGTTTTTACACCGAGGTAAACCCCAATAAATACTTAAGCTTATAAGCTTCCAGTGTAAAAGACTTGAGAAATTATTAATTTTCAGTAGTCATTTTTAATTCTAAAAGAGCGTCCTGTAGTTAAGGATATTTAAAGGGAAAAATACTAACAGAGGACGAACTGAAACGTTTTAGACTTTTTACTGGCTTTCTCGCAGTCGACCGGCTTGTCACAAGTCGATCACGACCCGATATGACTTTCACAGCATCGGGAGTAGAAGCGTGATCATTTGAATCTTGACATCCATGGTTCCTGTCGTTTTCTTTTAACCTCAGTGATTTATAATTTCTGCAAATATGTTCTTCCACGTTCATGACTCGCATTTCAATTTTGTCATTGATTTCAGTCTTTTTATGAAAAGGCTTTGATATATTCACCACTGGTCACCAACAACAAAACTATAAGTAACGCCTGATTGAACAACCGCTCATGTGTTTCTGTCACCGATTAATAACTAACTTTCTTTAGTATAACTAACTCACAACTTTTTACTACTTGTTAATCGTTCTCGGCGAGGGCAAAATTGATATTGCGAACGTTAACCAAAATATATACCCTTATATATCCCTGACGATTGCGTCGAAGTAGTACAGTTCCTTGAAATAATGACTTTGGTGAGTGTTCTAAAATTTTTGTGCCCCCTTAAAACATGTTTGAAATTAACAAGCATCAACGCTGTATTACCTTGACTGCCGGCATGGGTAACAGGGACTGTGAACGGAGACCGGGCCGCCATTTCTTGTATTTCTTGGATCAAAAGTAACTAACCGGGAAGGTAGTTTCCCATACATGTGCACATATTCCTGTGAGCTTCAGGCTCAGGTTTTTGTTATTCATGATTCCAAACAAAAAATGGGACCCACGACTGGTGTCTCAGATTACCAAAACTATTAAATGTGTGTGCTTTTCTCTGACATCGAAAGAGCAAATTTGTTTACATTGTGCTAGAATACTTTCATAACTTTTTTTTAACTACCCCTTGTAGGTGAAACCAAATGGCTTTGCAGTAGTTGAATGGAATCGACCAAATGGAAGAAGTGAATTGGAAGCGATTATTGTGAAGAAGTTAGCTGTCAAGGAAAGTGTAAGAGCTGGGGCCATTGCTGAAATGCAATATGATGGAGAAATTTGGAGGGGAAAAATTCTCTCTCTCCATGGTAAGACTAATAGTTCAAGTGATTTAAGCTGTCATGAGCATGTACTTGTGCATCTGTCAGAACTCTGGACCACATAAGAAAAAAAACTTACTGATAATGATAATAAATATACATTTACAGTTGTAAAGTGATGACTGTTATTTTGCCTCTGCATGAATGACTGCTAAGAGGGGTAAAGAAATCGTTCTTTCTCACACAAAAAAGAGTCCTAACCCTTTTTTTATTAACTGGCCTTTTTCAGACAGTATGAGTGATGCTAGAAGTGTTTTAGACAAGGAGCTTGGAAATTCTGGAACAGAAGAAAACAGTTCAAACTGTGAACAGAATTCATCCCCCAGTAAGAAGCAGAGAAAGAGAACAAAGAATAAACGACTTGATGGATATGAAACCAGTCAAGGTACAGTAAGCTGTTATTTGACACTAACAGCATATAATGGTTTAAAGTCACCGCGAAAAGGGAACTACATGTAAGTGTTATAAAAAACTAGTCACTGAGGACATTATTGAAGGTGGTTGCTCCTTGTTCCCTTAAATTTCAATTTACAGAGGTAGATAATAAAATAATAATTATCAAAGTTCTAAAAACATTTAACCTGTATAACCGCCCTGTATATAGCGGTCACCCTGTGTATTACGGTCACCGGACAGGTTCCCAAATATTAATTTAGCCGTATATTGTCTGTGTAGTGGACCTGTATAATGGTTACCTGGCCATTTCCCAAGGGTGACTGTCATAAACAGGCTTGGCTGTATTTTGTTACAGCTACTACAAATTCATTGTTTTTGGGAGACTCAATTATTCAGACCTTTTTCTTATACATTATTATTTTATCCTGTTATTTCTTAAAGATGATGAACCTTCCAAAAAAAAAAAAACCCAAGACCTCTGAGGGCAGAAAAAGAAAGCTGGAGGAAGCAAAGAAAATGACAGTGAAAGTCAAAATAGGAAGAAAAATGCCCGAAAAGATCATGATGATGCAGCAGAAAAGGAGCGAAAGCGAATTGAAAAGGAGCAGGCAAATAAGCAAAGAGAAAAGGAACGGCAGGCCCTTACTGAGCGAAATAACATGTTGCTAGAAAGGATGACTGCTTTGGTGAGTAATCAAAGTGCAGAAGATCCCTTTGATTCCGATGTTGTCTCAGAGTGTGTGGATCTCACAACTTCATCAACACCACCATCAAATCCTGTTCATCGTCTTCAGAACACAGTAAATGAGTTACGGAGTGCCACACCAGAAAGAGTGTTGTCAATCTCACAGCTTCAAAAGACACTGGACATGCTGCAGGGCAATTCAGAGGACCCACCAACCACACCATCTATTTGTCAGACAGCAATTCCATCACTGCAGAGAACCTCTCTGACCACACTGCAGGATGTGTGGGAAGAACCAGTATCCACAACACCAGTTCAGCAGATGCCAAATTCCACCACACCAGTGTCAAGATCTCCTCTGACAACTCTGCGTGGCAGATTAACAGAAGTGCCACTGTCAATACCAAATCAACAGAAAGAAGCCACCATTTCAGGAGCACAAAGAACCCCACTGACAAACACACCCAGAAATTTTCCAAACAGAAGACAAGACTTAGTAGCCAGACCAACTGTGGGTGGTAAATGCCCCAGACGAGTTCTACCACAGCCGCTCTCAAGTTCAGATGAAGAAGAGTATTGTCCATCATGCGTAACACGCAAAAAGAGAGTGAGGGAACTTGAAGATCAATTAAAGAGCTTGCAAGGTCAAGGTATGTATGAGGAAGTTTATGTGATAATCCCTGAAAATTAAAGAATGAGAGTTAAAAGAAAACAAGCAGTCTTGTTGTGAATAAAAAGAAATAAGGGGTATTAGAAAAAGGGATGCACATAATCCAGTTAGTCTGCTTGGGGGCACCCTGTTTTGGTGGTGGATCGATCGATCCACTGTCTGGTCTTTGTCCACTAATTACAGTAAACACCTGCATATAAGAACCTACTTTTTGAAGTCTGGCAAAATAGGTTCATGTATTTTTTGGGGTACGTATTGCCAATTTAGGCTAAGTAGGTTCTTAATTTTTATGAAGGAGATAATTGATCATTGAGTACCAGAAAAATAAATGAACTCGGTTAAATATGCAGTATTTATTCGTAACTATTATAACCTAACAAAACTATATAATTACATGCAAGGTGAACTTTCGATCTTGTTAATAACTATAGTCATTCCTATCATTATTTTTAAGTTTCTGATCCTCCAAGACCTGGAAAGATCAGTCCCATTCTAGCAGAACGCTTTAAGGTAAGCACTTCATTCACCATTTTAATCACAGAATGTGCATGCTATTGTAGACAAATCAGTGTAAAGTTTTTGTGCAAATCATGTAGTCGTCAATGGCTAATTTGATGTTTGCAAGAGGTTCGACCCTACTAGACCTAGTCAGGCTTACAGTTTAACCCATTTGCTCCCAGATAATATGCAGCAGAAAACCACTCTTTCGAGCCATTTAAGACCTTTTCTGGTTCTTACCAGGCTGAAAAGGATCTACAATGTAGATGTGAACTACCCGAAAGACATACTAACAATTCAAGTACAATGCTGATAGTTTCTGATGCTAAATTTTAGCATTGAAGTTCAGGCATCAGGTAAAAAGTTCACTGCCTCCACGACTGTTTTTTTTTTACTTTTCCTCGTCCTCACCTCTTGCTTTCCTTGCCCTTTTTTTCTTTTTTACTTTTGTGGGGCATTTCCTTGGGCTAGTCCCTGCAAGCCACAACTTGCCCAAAGGGTAAACTGTAAGCTGACTTTCTTTACACGCCCTTGTTATGTGTCAAAGTTGTCAATGTCTTTTGAGCATTTGAAATGTGACATGCGGCAGAACATGTGGAATTATTATACAGGCTGTTCAGGTGTGTATGTCTATATAAAATTGCTATCATAAAAATAACATGGCTGTTTTTTTTCTTCTTAATTCCAACAGATGGTAGAGTTGACTCCTGGTTCTCAAGTTTTTGTGTACCAGAACCATATTCACCAAGCAATGGCCAGAGCGTCGTATAAGTCAGCGGCATCGTTTTTGTTAAACTGTTTTTACACAAACGACGAGCTGGTGGGGATGAACCTGACTGGAGCAAATGGAAAGAAATGCCCAGACAAGGAGATACTTCAAAGCATTATAGGTATGTGTGCAATAACATGATGACTATGTAAATTAATAGTCTCTCAGAAACTGCTTTTTTTTAATTTTCCCATCCATAAATTCACTACTCATGTTGTAATGATTTTTGACCCTCTTTACAGGATTTGTCATGAGAGAATACCAAAAGCATTCGCCAACTGAGTCCTCTCTGAAGCTGGCTTTAAGAAACAAGCTGAGTGCTTTGGAATCAAGAAAGTTAAAGAAGGATGAGTGAAAAGCTTAATTTTTTTTTCTGTAATATAATTATGCACGCAGAAAAAGTTAATGTTGTGACAGATAAGTAGTTGGCCTGATTCAGATTACTAATTTCATTGCAAGTTTGTTAGGGCATTCGGTTATTGTCCTTTTCAGCAAGCAGTCTTTGGGTTTGAAATAATTATGAAAAAATATTTATTAAATGTTAAGTACAATATATAAGCTATTTCTACAGTGAAAATAATATTGTGTTTTAAAAATTATTGACATACTGTACGTCTGTTACTGTTAAAAAAAGCTCCAAATAAAATTTATTGTTACAAGCAAATATTGAACATTTTTTAGTGAATTTATGTAGAGCCAGGGTGGTCATGCATGCCTTTGTCCTTACTGAAATTTATGGGTTTCAGCAACTTAATTTAGAAGTGTACAAATTGTATACTTTTTGCAAGTGTTATACAAAAAGTATACTTTTTGTGGTCTTTTCTGTGTATGAAGCATGTATACCATTAGTATACATCCTCTTGGAGAGGTATACTTTTTGTATACATCGGGGTGTTCCAAATTACTAGTACAAAAAGTATACATCAAGTGTATACAAAATGTATACATCAAGTATACCTAAAGTATACCCAGTGCAGTATACTTCATGTATGTTCGGAGTATATTATAAGTATATTTCATTTTGTTAAGGGTAACATCATGGCCTCATGGTGCGGTGACAATGGAACTCTTAACCCTGGAATGATGAGGCCTGGAATTGTTGTCCATAGTGTGGAGATAGTAGGGAAGCATATGTTTGCAGAAATTCCCTCTCTGTTTGGCTTGCAGCGCAAGCAACATCTTTGCCTGTTCAAAGGATCCACTCCAACTACTTATGTGCTGAAAGACTTTACTCTGGGCAAATATTTTTAATTGTCTCTCCTATTCGCAGGAGAATATTGCTCTAAATTAACTACTGTTGAATGGTACATTGCGCCATGGTTTAGAACATTGACGGGACACATCTAATGATAGAATACAGTGGGTCTTCCTGAGACGACCATTCTTATTGTTTTTGCTTTCAAGACAGTATTTTGCTTAAAGGAAACTTGCTGCTGCTACAGAGTAGTTGGTTGTTTAGAGAGCCACAACTTTGTAAATAGGGTGTTTTGCAAGGCAATGTTTTTGTGTTACATTTTTCTCATAATATGGCTAAATCTGCAACACGACAGACACTTGTTCCACTATGCAATACTTCTTAAAAAATTGTGGTCATATTGTGAGATCCACTTCAAAACGTTTACCAAAATTATGTAGTATGTGTTAAAATGATTGCAGCAACCAAACAAATTGTCATTTTTCAGGCACCTTGCTGTACCAAACATTGCTAAGTGTAACACTGCATCGATATAAGAACAAGTAATTATAAGAAACAAGAACATAATTATTGGGTGTGCTTTCTATATCTTTTTCTAATGACTATAGTGTATCTGTGTCAGCACTGCCTAAATGAAACGTTTTCAGCATTTATTTTGTATGGTCTTTTATCAGTATTTTACACAATAGAAAGATGAGGAATTGCTTACTTTCAAATCTCCGGTGTCACCTCGTGGTCTGCTGTTTACTTTCGAAATAGGTTTTATGTTTTAGTTTACTGGCCAAATATCGAGTTAAAAACAAGCAAGAGCATTGATTTACTGGTAGAAGTCATAACAAAACAAGGCTTTGGAGGAAAAAACCTAATTCACTTCGAATTTACTGCGCTTGAATAACGTGTGTGGCAGGCATAACCGATCGCGACTCGGTGAATTGAACAAAAAGATTCCTACTGTTTTCCTACCTCGATTTGCGCGTTTGTTTTGCTTGCTATCCTCCAGAATCCTTCAAAATAATTTCGGTCAAAATTCGTCGACACAAGTTTCATTCTTCGCAAAACTCGCGACGAAATGCTCTGCTTGACGGCCTCAAATTTTGTCTGCTTAAAAAGATCATTTTTTGAAACTCAAAACGCCCCAGGGGCTGGAACTAAATTTCGAGCAGTCGGAAGTAACAAAAGTTTTTGCGATTTTTTTCAGAGGTACCCAATGACTGTTTTCTGTAAAATGTCTTTTCTGAGAAGCAAATATTGCCTAAAATTTTATATTACTTGAGAACGGCTAAAACTTTCTAGGTGACTATCCCATTCATGTCCAAGTTTCAAAGCTTACCTAATCAAATCCCGACTATTTTCTGAAGTTAAATTTTCCACATTTCATTCACCAGGTTTGGCCATATTTGATAGTGAAAAAAAAATGCGATGAAAAGGGGAATTAGAAAAATTCTCACTTTCGTAAAAGGTTAAATTGCGTGTAAAATACTTAAGTTGCTCTAGGATGACCGAACAGATACAAATTTAAAAGCGCCGCATAGAATGCATTTTTAGAGATCTAAAACTACGGCTGGATAGCGTAAAAAGACTTTTCAATGTATTTACGAGGAAACGATCGCTGGGTGACCCTGTTTCTTTCGTTATCGTTCCTGAAGGAAAGAAAATTTGTGCGACTGGAACACATTGAGATAAACATATATATGTATATGCCTTTTTCCTAAAAAAAAAGATCTGTTCCAAGAATGTAATTAAATTACTCACAAAATAAGACACCTAACCAATACATAATATGATCAAGTAAGTGAGTTTGGGCTAGATGGCATTCGCCACGGTTAGCTCAAATTATTACAGTAGCTAAAATGATCTTCAAATAAATAGTAATGCTTTCCAGTGAACTTAGAATCAATCTCTCTGTTAACATTAGCCTCCTCCAGGCTCCCGGTTATGCGGGAAGATCCCGAGAAAGATGTTAAGAGCAGTTGTCTGTAAATATCGAGAAAACAGCGGCCACGGTCAAAAATTAAATTCGCTCATATCTTGTCCATAGTAAGGTATTAGCAAGTAACTAAATGTGGTGTATTTTTTTTAAAAAGACCACTTTGATTAGGACAAAATCGACAAAATCAGTTTTCGAGGTCGGCGACTTAAAAACAACCAAATTTTGAGGCAAAATGAGGCGTTCTCACTACTTCACTTGGACGACAAAAGGAAGCAAGTGGGATAAAATATTCACCGATAAATCAATTTGTTAAGGGTTTTACTGCTAGTTTGGTGGTGATTTCGTATCTTAGCCATAATCTGGAAAATAAACAATTTTAATTTAGTTTGGGTTCTTTTTCAACTGACCGTATTTTAAATTTGGGCTGAAAGTTGCGTTTTAAATTTTAGAAATGTGCTACACCTTGGTTTTACCTGAAACTCAAGCTATGAGCTATTTAAAAATGGTGCTAAAACATATTTAAGAACTGGCTTAGGTAATTTAATTTGAGCTTCAAACGAACCTTATGAAGTTGAATAAATTTCGCCTGAAATATGAGACTTTTTCATGATCGTCAGTTTGTTGTTGCTCGACAAGTCACAAAAGCTTGACGCCCTTCAACAGAATCTTTACTCGCAATTGCACTTGTTCAAAGCGTTGTATTAGAATATTTATTACCCCGATGTGTCCTTCTTTTTTGAGTAACTTTAAGCCACTTTCTATACCTCACTTGGTGTTATTCTCAACTGATCGCTCTGTGCCAGATCGGCTGGCAACCCACGATTGAACTCGGGAAAACAAGAGAATTATTTCAAAACCTCTGACTGAACTTAGCATATCTTTCTTTATCCTACCTTAATACTCCTTGCACTTGAAAAATCCTAGGCCTTAAAACAGCTGAAATTTTGATATACCCCTCTTAATAACTGCCAAGCAGGTGTGCTCTTCGTCATCATACACCTTTTGGTGTTGCGTGACAGATCAAAATCATTCGCACCTGGAGGGGGTAGGGAAACCGATGCACGAAAACGAAGCCAAAACTTGTAATATTTCTGAAAATAAAACTTTGTCAATCGTCAAAGATCTTACTATTTTAAGTTCAGTGCTCTAGATTGCAAAGTCTTCGATATCACAGTACCATTAAAGACAAAAATAAACTGTCCACAACAAAAACACTTTAAATGAATCGAGTTTTCACTGCTCACAACTGGGTCATTGCTTGCTGAATGTATGGCCACTATACCAGGTCAAGTTCGTGCTTCTTTCTTCATATGCAAGCCTTCCGGGTTTCCCCCGCAAATGCTGTTACAATGCCTTTTTAACCAAAACCGATCTTAATTATTTCTGGCAAGTGCAGTTTTTCCAAAGGCGATCAGTTTGTCAATGTAAGGGGCTTTTCTCTTTACTTTGATGTCCGTTATTGGTATATCAAAGTGTTCAAAAGATATACTTAAGCATTTGAATCGCAAAGATTGATAGCTTTGAATTTGCAGTTAGTTCGCAGATGTTATACCTGTCATAGCATATTGGATTAGTAAGGGCAACCTCTTGAAGAACTTCACTTCTCAACCCGTCAAAGGCTTTCTCATTTTCAACGTTCTGGTTTTCTTCAAAGTCGCTTTCCACCATTTCGTCATCTTCAAGTTTGGGCTTTGAGGACAGTCTTGAAAAGAAACTTGAAACTTGCTGACTCGTCAGAAATTCAGAACTGCTAAAAAGGCGGTTTCCATTACTGTCTCCAGCAGTTATCATTGACTTGGATACCAAGGCTGCATCTGCTTTCTGGCCGGTTGACTCACCAATACGAAATTTACTGGATAAGTAGTCTCTCTGCTTCTGTGTGAATCGTGTCCGCTTTACGTGACTAGACTTAAGGGCCCAACCCATAGGTAAAAAAGGCTGATTCGAGAGGTTTAGCTGCTTTCTCACTTGCTCAATCTGTGGTACACTACCAGAGTGACCTTGTAGCCTCTCTGCGTAACCAAGCGCTGCTCTGTCAAGGAGTGTTTCATGCTCCAAAGCACATTCGTTTTTTCCAAGGTCCAGATGGTGCTGTAAAGAAGAAAATCTTTGATAAACTTTCATGCATCCTTCCTCGGGACAGGAAAATATATGAACAGTGGGTGAAGTCTCAGTCACAGTCTCTTCTTTGGTATCTGAGCATTGCTGGGAATTATCTGAGCAAGGTTGACGCCTGGATTTAACTTTCATAAAGTGTGCATTCGGCATTGTTGTGGCTGTACCCTCATCACATTTCACGAGACTTGGAATCTGCACCAACTGTGGAATACCGATGTCCTTGAGGCGTATGCACTTACCAGGCCCTATTTCATACGCTCTCCAGACAGGCAGGCTT